CACTCTGAGGTGGCCAAATGGATCTGGGGTCCTGGTGTCCAGGCACCCTGCAGATTCTCCACATCCAGGCCAGGCCATGTTCTTGCTTGGAGATACCACAGCCAAGCAAGGGGCAGCAAGCTTCACACACCCTTCAGAACAAGCCGGTTGGCTGGAAAGCCAGCCTCTTACATGTTTTACATGTCTGTTGCCCAAGTGTCCCATTATCACAACTTTGCACAAATGATATTTATCATATATGACAAATATGAAAATATGACATATATTCCAAGATAAAACCAAGTGGGAACGTAAAGGAGCAAGAAGTCCACTCTTTGTAAGATTTAAGTTTCATCAAAAGCTTGTCTTTCAGAATTATTTTCTCTTAAATGTGAATGTAAAAGTAATGAATGAAATAATCAGGCATTTCTGAAAATATAACATGTACTATTTTCTAATGACCCTGTCCAAAGTCATTACAAGTTGTCTACTCTGTGTGTGTGTACGTGTGTGTGTGTGTGTCTGTGCGTGTGTGTGGTGTGGGATATGTGTGTATGTGTTTATGGGTGATGTGGTATGTGTGTGCATACACACTTTGCACACATCTGCTATACTTGTGTCACATTAAAAAAAAAAAGGAGGTGTCATGCTTTCCAGATCAAATAAATAATTTTGTCTACTAATCTCACAAGAATTTCTTAAACTGTTTTTCAAATCATTTCAACAGTTTACATATAAGCCATGCATTTATGAGATTCTTCAACAATTTTAAGAAAAAAAATCAACTTTTAAAATTGTGTTGTATATCAAGGAACCACTTACTAATCTAGAATTAAAACAAAATTCAATCAATCCCACCACAATAATATATCATGACTATACATGAAATAACTTTGTTGGTGACTGTTTAATATGACCTTAGTTAGCTCATAGTTATCAAAAGAATACAGTGCTAAGAAAAGAAAAAAGATTTTAGATATTTTTTCTAAAAATAAATTTAAAATACTTTTAAAGACTGTGAGGCAAGTGAAAAAAATACCAATTAAGAATAAATTTTAGAGTAAGACCAGTTAATAAAGACCACCTATAAAAAGCAATAGAACATTTATGAATAAAATGAATAATTCATACACCCTAAATATCATCAGAGTCACAAATGGGAGAAACAAAATAATTTTTAAAGAGCTCTTGTAAAAACAAGGCTTCATCCAAAAAGGAAAACAATCCAGTACTTCAGGAAATAATTCAGTAGTTCTCTGATTATTAAAATCTCCTATAAACAGCTCATAATGTGAAGCTATTGTCAGTAAAGACATAGCACCACTCTTTGCAGACCAAAACCTTGGCTGTCTGAGCGGGCTGTCACAGGATTTAGGGATGAATCACTTACTTTCTCTGGTCGCTTTCCTACTGGCTCAGTCGGTAAAGAATCTGCTTGCAATACAGGAGACTTGGGTTCGATCCCTGGGTTGGGAAGATCCCTTGGTGGAGGGCATAGCAACCCACTCCAGTATTCTTGCCTGGAGAATCCCATGGAAAAAACAGTCTGGTGGGCTACAGTCCATGGGGTTGCAAAGAGTCGGACACGACTGAGCGGTGAAGTACAACCTACATTCTCACTGGGTTCCTGGTGATCAGCAAGCATCTGGACCTCCTGATTCTTGCTGTGGGCACTCGGGTCAGCCCTGAATGTGGTCACTTCTTATCCTGATCCTGTTTTGAGCCTGTGGTGTCATGTGCTGTAAAGCAAACTCTTCTTGTAGAGAACCCTCCCACTGAGGGCCACAGCTAACTCAGCTGTAGCCCACACAGTATTGCCTTCCATCAGGGGTGGTCAAGGCTGAACCTCAAGATAAGCTTGCTTCAAACGACTCTTCCACAACAGCTAGTGGCTATTTTAAAGAACTGACCCCCAACTGTTCTTGGCTATCTTTCCTTCCTAAACTGTTCGCCCTGCAGATCTGTATTGCCTTTGGGACCTGCTAAAAATCAGTAGCAGCCCCCGCCATGGGCACTCAGGCTCCCCACCAGCTTGGATTTCTAGGCAATAGAATTTGAAAATGGGCAGCAGTGACATCAATACTTGTCTGTATGTCTCTAGGTCTTTCAAGCCCAAACGTAAATAGTTTTAAAATAGAATTATAATGAAAATATCCATTGCTCTTTGTTGTTATGATTTTCCTTTATCTCAAGGACATACTTTCTTGTTCTGTTCCTTTTGTGTCACCAAAAAAGAAGAAAAAAAAACACAAAACAAAACCCAGTGTCAGGCATACTGAGGCAGGTACAAAGGTGCCACCAGTGGGTGTCCTGATGTAAACAAACACAAACCTGGACCCTTGCTCATTCTCATAATCTCATGCTGTTACTAACATAAGATTCAAGTGAAGGCACGAAGGACAAATTAAACATGCTCTGAGCTTGGAATTCTACTGCGGCTCAGGTGTTACACTTTTTAAATTTTCAAATCCTTCATCAACTAATATTACAACCTGCTATTCAAGCAATTTGGTGTTTCCTAATTGATACACCAGACTTCTATATTTTACGATGTCCATTTTCATGTAAGTAGATTGCATTGAAATATTTTTAAAGAATAAATCTGTGTGCAATATCCTAATATTGTCTGTAGGTAGATATGTCTGTGAGACAGGAAATCTATAATTATACAGCAGATGAGTCTTCCAGGAAACTTGAAAACATTTGGGGTTTTCCTTAATTTAGACATACATTTAAATCAAAGAGAATAATAACAAATTCTCTCCCAAACTCTAAGCCTTTAGATTTTGCTGTTGATGTACAAGCAAGTTATAAAGACTGCCCCCTTTTCTATCTACCAGAGATCTTTCAAAGTAAGGACACCAATAAAACTATTTGCAAATCAGCCAATAATACCAGGTTTCTTTTTTTTTTTTTTTTTTTAGTTTTGTGATCTTTCAAGAAAATAAACTCACGGTTCTAAACTCAACAAGGGCAATTCAGAAATGTGCACCGACAGAAGGCCACGTGATACTGTGAGTCAAATGTGCGCAGAAGAAATTGTCCTTTAGTGTCTGGACTCCTTTGCTGTGTGATTTCAAACTTCTCCAGGGAAGTCTGAGCTTATATTCCTGTGACGCCACTGAAGATGGACCAGGCGACAGCAAGGAGCACTAATAGGTCATGCTATGAGCCCCCCGGTCATTACGATCCTCTGGCTCAGCAAAATGACCCCAAATCCAGAAGGCTCTAAGCAGACCCAGCCTTTCACTTATTTGAGTGCTGTTCTTGCTTCGGGGTTGGGGGAAGAGGGTGTCACAACCTAATAGCCCAGCACAGTAGACTAGTTTTCTTCAGCCACAACTGACATTTAGAACTGGATGTCAGCCTTCATCCTTCAAAAAGCAAGAGTAAAGCCTTAAGCAAAGCAAGTTGTTTTTTTAAAGAAAACTTTAAAGACATAAGTTTGAAAATTCTCCCTCCATTTGGAAACTACCCTCTATGTTCAACATGACAGGTATAAAAACCTTTGCCAACGTCTGTCTAACATGGTTCTTTTTTTTCTTCAGATAGCAATTATACTATATTACACATGCCACAAGTAATATACTCTGGCATCACTTCTTAACCTCAACGTTGTCAGGGGTTTTGTTGTTTGGTTTTGTTTCTTCTTTTTCCCTTTTGTTTTTGGCTCCTGGTTATATAACTTAAAGAAGGCATACAAGAGGGATATCCTTTTTCTTTCACAATAAACTCAACCAGCTGTGCATACTTTATGTTGATCTTCCTCCCTTTTTGTAAAATATATGATTAATTCACTCTCAGAAGCTAAGACTGAAGATCAAATTAAAAAGGAGACTCAAAAGGAGAACAGGTCCATTTTTAATACTGATGATCGCATTCCTCTGTTGGTACTTTTGAGATAGTTAAAGATAATCCACAAAGTCAACTGTTTCCTTTAATATTTGGTTCAAAATTATCAAGACATATTTTGCCAGGGGATGTGGTCTGTAGAATTTTGAAACTGGATCTGTAGGCAGTAAGTATTAATATCCACTAAGAGCCTGCAGATTGCTCAGTGCAATTGACAACACTGTAGAGAGAGTGTGCATCTCATTTCTCTTAAAACGAAAAGTCATGCCTTGGAGTGACCAGTCTGAAATAATGTCATTTTGGCCCCTTTCCACTGTCTGGAGGCTGTCTGCCCAGCTGGAAGAGCGCTGTGCTGATTCTCTGCTGCCCAACGACCAGAAGGATGTGATAAGCATGTGGCAGGCCAGTGGAAGGCTGCTAAGTATTTGTTCTTTAAATATCATAGAATACTTGCATAAGAGAAGAATTTTGTGGACTACATCAGGCATGATTGTATAATTCTCTGTGTTGGAGGAAAAAAAAATCTACTTTCCAGCCTGTGGCTCAGCTTCCTTTAGCCTATTTAAAGGGAAGGCCAGAGTCCCCAGGGAAAAACAGTCCCAAATTTCCTTCTGCTGCTGTAAACCAAAGCAGGTATGGAAGGAAAGGCAGAAACCAAAGAAAACCTTGCTGGCTAAGAAATTGCTATCTATCTGGTATACAGGACAGTACTTGGGCTGCACTGCAAGGAGCTGGAAATTCTTGCTGAGGGAGAAATAAAACCACCTACTCTGCCGCCGGGGGCAAACACAGGAGAAGTAGTGACACCACCTGCCTTTCTCATCGCAAGGGCTGCCCAGTTCTTCCAAGTGTGAACCCCAGGCAGACGTGATGCACAGTTCCCAGGGAGAGTGGTCCATACCGAGAGGGGTCCTGGCCGGACACATGGCAAAGCTCGGTGGCAAAGGCATGCCAAAGGAGCGGAGCCAGGGGAAATCAGGACAGTGAGGTCACCGATTTCAAACCTTCTCCCACTGGATGCGCAATGGGCGCCTTTGCTGAGCTGGGTCCCCGCTGCCAAACGAGCTGGCTGCGAAAAAGTGCGCACCCCCTGGCCTCCACGGCGACCCACTGTGCCGGACGCCTCTGCGCCCGGGCTTTCCCACCCGGCGGCCCGCGCCCGCACCCACCTTGACGACGTAGGTGACTCCTGCCCCCAGCACCTGGTCGCTGGCGTGCGGGGCGCGGGGCGGCGGCTCGTCGCCGGGTCGGCCCTTCCTGGCGGCGCGCATGGCCGGGGCGCGGGGGCCGGGGGGCGCGCTGCCGTCCGGGGCGGCCAGGCTGGGCGCGCTGCAGCTGCCCGAGAGCCGCGCGCCCGCCCGCTCCCTGGCCGCCGACAGGCCGCGGAGGCCCGAGCTGGAGAGTTTCAGGTGGGACACCTTGTGGAGCAGATGGCCCAGGCTGCCCGGCCCATCGTCGGGCGCCCTGCGCAGCGCTTCTCCGGACACCAGGTAGGGGGCCGCCGCCGGGGCCGCGCGCGCCGCCGAGACCTTGCCACCGCCGCTCACCGACAGGTTGTGCAGAAGGTCATCGACCGATGTCACCGAGTCATTCCTGAAGCGGTTGTACTTGGTGCGTGGAAGCATGCCCCTCCGTGGGCTCGCCGCATCCGCCCGGGCGCTGCAGGTGCCGGCCCCGGCGCAGGCTGCCGCGCATAGCAGGCGAGCCGCGGTCCCCGGGGCGGGACGGAGCGGCCGGGACAGCAGGCTGGGGGGCGCGAGCAGCGGCGCCGGCCTCCCACCGCTAACACCCCGCACGGCCGCGGCCGCGCAGCCCCGGCCCCGGACTCGGCTGCTGAGGGCGGTACGTTCGCTTTGCAAAAGTCATAGTTTCCTCTGCTGCGCGCCCAGCTGCTTGGGGCTGCTCACAGCAAAAGCATGACTCACTCCGAGAGGAGACCCTTCTCAACAAAGGCTCGGTGAGCACTGCAAATCACTTCCTGTAGCAAAAAAAAAAAAAAAGAAGAAGAAGAAAAAAAAAACCACATACACCCACTGACAGCACTCTAGAGCCAATCAATTCTCAAATTTCCTTTCTCTACCTTCCCAGACATTTCCTTCCAACCTTTGGTTTTTCACCTCCCTTTCCCCTGCCCCCTCTCAGCATCTATGCCAGAGGTAAATCCTGTTCCTTCAAATGAACTTTCTGAAACCCATTATTCTATGCTAGGGTTTTTTTCTTCCCTGTTCAGCCCATCTGTGAGCCTGGAAAAGTGTCTGACGGTGCAGCGTTAAAATGTGACGAAGGATTTTTAAGAATAAGATCTTCAGCGGATCCTCATGAATTTTGATTTGGAAAGCAGCAGGAATTCTTAAATAGCCAAAAAGAAAATATTCATTCCCAGGTGAACATAAAATATCAATCTCCAAGGTTTTTTTCAAGTCAACAGAGCAGCCATGACAAGAGTCTTTGTGGCAATGCAGTTCCTCCCCCTCCCAAAAAAAAAAAAAAAAAAAAATCTGCGTATGAACTTCTGCCCAGAGCCACTGAGGGTCTCTTCCCTGATCATTTACAGCAGTCTTTCTCAGCCAGGGTTAAGCTGAAAACCTACTTCTGAAAAAGAGGAGTGTTTCTTTGATGAATGGCAACAAGCTCCAGAAATCCATTCCAAAAGGGGGGCTGTGCTTGAAGCTTTATTCCAACTGAATGTGCTCAAGCTCTGGAGAAATGCCTAAGAAACGCTACAAATACATTTCAATATCCCTTTGGTTGCTGCTTGCAACCCTGCAGAAAGAAAGGGAAAAAATGCAGCAGCTGTCAGTACACATCAAGCCCGCCGAAAGATGCCTTGTTTTCAGGAGTCAGACACCGGCTGCAACTGAAACGCACAGGCCTCCTCGCTGTCCGCGGAACAGAGCATTGAGCCCCTCCACCCCACCCTAGAAGGTCTGCGGAGACGCAAACCCACTGACCCCTGTCACCATGGACTCTTGACGGTCTTCATCGGTCTTCATCGGTCTATTGAGAGAAGCCGCCCTTCACAGTGAAACGCTTTCGCTCCCTGTCCAAGTTTCCCGTCTACTTCTATGCAAAAAATGAATTTACCTCTAGCACGTTATCAGATTAGCCTTAGTCTTCTCACACCCACGGCTAGGCATGTGACACTTGAGGCACCCAGCCTTGAAAAGCTTTATGGAACAGGGTGTGACGAGTGCCACTCAAGGTGGGCCAGGTGAGGCCCGCTGCGGGGACACAGGAGCGTGGAGGAGCGGCAGCTCCCCTCCCAGGGCCGCAGGCCTAGCCGAGCAGCCGCGTGGCACTCATTTTTTTTTCTTCCCCTTGCTGGCATAGCAACAGCAAATGCACACTCCAGAGATGGTGGTGATGGTTATCCAAGTCCCCCCAAATCTAAAGCAAAACTTCCCTATCATTCCCAAACCGTGATCTTCATTAGAAGCAGACAAAAACAGCAAAATGTGAATGAAATGCTGTTTGTGTGAATGAAAGGGCTAGCGAGCGAGCCAGCGTTTCTGTGAATGAAGCCGGGCCTTGCAGCCGGCGCCAGGCAATCCCCTGGTTCCAGCGGCCTCAGCCAATGAGCGGGCGCCCCGATGACTCATTCAACAAAAGCTTGCTCAATAGTGGAAGATTCCATTTCAATCAAAGGCGGGATCTTTCATCCAACGGCAGTGTGGGAAAAAAAAAAAAAAAAAAAGCCAGCCTGATTACAAAGATGTAGGGAGGAAGGAGAAGGCTCTTATGATGAGAGGAAAAACTAGTTTTTCCAAGGAAATTCAAGATCCACTGGACAGGTATGAGTGCGAACAGGACTGCCCTCTTGGAGGTGAGCTGTGCCCTAAAACTTTCATTCAGCCATTCATTTACATCAAGAGCAATCATGAATGTGCCATTCTGTTCAGCATTTATTATGAATGTACAGTGAATGCATTCAATACCCAGGCTCCTCGCCCTTGATCCTTTTTGTGAAAGGAATATAAAACAGGCATGCACGTTCTGAGTCCCCAAGGAGAGGGGAAAAAACCCGAAGCTACACCGTTAACCCTTTAGCCAACAGGAGACTTTCGTTCCTTTTGTTATGATGAAGCAAGTAAAGGGAAATTGACCACTTTAAAAAGTAAATAGCAATATAAATGTACCACATGTAAAGAAGATACATAATCTAAGAGAGAGATTAATATTTTAAGAATACAATAGGACAGTAAAACCTCACTTATCAGGAAGATGGTATCAGCATTTTGGGACTTAGGAGAAAAGCAAAAAGAGGATCCCAAAGGTTTCTCAGCACCAAAATAGAAGCTGCAACCCAGTCAAGAAGCCCCCGGGCAACCCTGTGGACCCTCACTGGGGGCTGCTATTGCTTATTTTAAACATTATCCCAGAAGCCCAAGTATCAGATTTATCAGCCTATGACAATATAAAGATGGATGATGGATGAAATTTTCATAGTCTGGTGACACAGACAACAACAACAGCAACAACAAACAGAAAAAAAATGAAACTATTATTAAGTCAGCCTCAAGAAAGCCAGGCAGCCTAGGGCCTTTCCAGAATATTTGTTTTTCTTTTTAAATCTGTTAATTTAAATGTGTATTGATTTTCTACTGCTACCGTAACCACAAAATCAGTGGTTTAAAGCGATGCAAATTTATCTCCCAGTGCTGTAGATCAGAAGTCCAAAATGGCTCACAAGCGGATAAAATGAAGATGTGAGCAGGGCTCATTCCTCTGGGGTTTCTAGAGATGAATTGCCTTCTCTGTGCCTTCTCCTGCTTCCAGAGGCTGTCCGAACATGCGCTCCTGAGAATGGGCCATAAGCTGGACCCTGGGGAGCGTGGCTTTGCCCATAAAAGATTTCATTCCAACTAAAGAGGCAGAAAATTGAAAATTAATATTACAATGCAGTATGCTATGTGAATGTTGTAATATGTGTCATATACAAAACTTATCCATAGGGTACCATAACTGAACGTGGCCTAAGGATATCAGGGTTGACTTCAGCAGGGAGATGACCCCCCAAGAAAAGATTTGAGACACTACTGGGATCTTCCAGATAGGCTGAGAAAAAAAGGTACCTCGAGAGGAGATGCTGGGTAGGGAACAGCTCAAGTCTTGAGGGAGCTCATCATTTCCAGAATCCCAGGTAGATTGGTTGGGCTGATGCATAGTATTGGGAAGCCAGGCCACTAAGATGGCCTGACCCGGAGGATCTAGGAATAACCAATAACTTCCTTGAGATGCTTGAGCAGGTTTGCAGTGGCTTGAGAGAGCTGACACAGTCAGATTACATTTTATGTGGGCACCTTGACAGTGAGGTGGGGTGGCCTTGAGGAGTTGTTGACAGAACAAATGAAAAATGATGGAGTCTTGAAGGAAGACCAAAGCAGTGGGCTGAACAAGAGACAATAAAATGACCTGGATGACAATGATGGGTGAGAAAAAGTGGGCCAGGCTGGCTTGTCTGGAGGCAAAGCTGAGATGGAGTTTGGGGTGCAAGATGCTTGTTAAGGACCAAACTCCATGGGAGGCAGGAGGAGGCTAGAGGAATGGGCAGAGTGAGAAGTGGGGCTTTGTGAAGCCCCACATACCCCAGCCTGGCGGGCTCCCCACTGAGGGTCCCCCTGGGGCCTGGTGGGCCTTCCTTTCTCCTTCACTCCTCACTCCCTCACCTGCCCCAGGAGTAATGGCCTCCAGCCAAACAGCAGAGGCTCCATTCTGCACAGAAAGAAACAGAGGATCAGAGGGGTTATGAGATGTGCCCAGGACACACGGGGTTAGGAACTGGCCATTCTGTCTGACTCCAAATCCATGTTCATGACCACAGCTTCAAGGAGCTTGAATAAGGACCTGCTTAGAATCAACTGTGGAGGTGGTGGTTCCCCAAGACAACACCTTTGCAGTGTAACAGAGGGGCTGCCACTGAGGTCACGGGGCGATGCCAGCTGAACGAGAAATGATGAAATGGATGAAAGCAGTCATACTTTCCAGAAGATTAATTGCCATGAGAGGGAGGATATAGGGCAATGGCTGGAGGTACAGCAGGGAGTATAGAACAGATGATAGAAGAGTTGGGGGTATGTTTAGAAGAAAGGTGAGGGCAGGACTTCCCTGATAGTCGAGTGGTTAAAACTCTGTCTTCCAATGCATGGGGTTGGGGTTATGATCCCTGGTCAGGGAACTAAGATCCTACATCCTACCTTGTGCAACAACAACAAAAAGAATACAGGTGAGGGCTTTAGATTAGAACAGAATGGAAGAAACGGACATCCAGGAAAGAGGTGGGGGTCAAGAGGATAGGTGGAGCTATCACCCTGGAAAGGACAGTGGGAGAGATGGAGGAACTGGGGAGCAGATCATTTGGGGTTGAGTAGGAAATAGGTGGTTCCAAGGAGAAGACCCATTTTCAGGGAAGAGGTTAAGAAATTCCAAAGGATGGTGACTGTAAACAAGGAATGTACCAGTTCTACTAGCATCAAGCCATTAGCCACTGTAACTGCCCAACAATGCACCCTGAAGGGATGGAGAAAAAACAGAAAATATTCTGTGCTTTGGATATTGGCCCTAAATAGGTAAGACATATATATGCTTAGTTGCTCAGTCATGTCCCACTCTTTGTGACCCCATGGGC